CTCAAGCACTCAGAGGTGTGGCTTTTGGGAGTGACTGGATCACTGGTGTGTGACACTGGATTAGTGTGTGATTCAATTAACACAGTTCTAGATGTAGATGAAGGATTCACTATAGAGGGAAGATGCACACTGTGTGTGGGTGGCACCAACCAATAGACTTATAGCCTGGATGGAATAAAAAGGGAAAGAAGGAAGTCTCACTGTTTCCTGATTGCCATACCATGGGATATTTCCCCCTGTCATGCCACCCTACTTAGGAGCCAGCCGACTATAGACTGAAACCTCTGCCAACTGAGCTAAAATAAACCTTTCCTCCTTTAATATGTAGGTGTTGGGTATTTTGTCCCAGCAAGAAGAAATTATCTAAGACAGAGGGTAAGTAACCCATATTCTCCAGTATACTGTGGTGCTTACATAATTATTTTGCCCATGTTTAAAGTAGGCTTGGCTAAGCTATGATGTTTGGTAGGTTAGGTGTTTTATATAAATGTACTTTCAGAGTACAGTATTGTTATAGCTTTATTTATAGGTAACCTCATGGCGATCTATACTAAGAATGCAGTTTTATAAAAAAATTAGGATAATAAAACTAATTCCACCACATGGTTATCCTGATTTTTTAACAATGTATGTTTTAGTATATATAGTGTTATATCTGATGTAAATCATCCCCTTTAATTCTAGCGCCTCTGTCTTGTGAATTAAGCAAGGATTTCTCCCTTTTGTTCCTGTTTTGTAATGCTATGAAATTAGTTCTGTTTTGCCATTTCTATTCATGGGGTGCAAGAAATTATATCCCCAAATAATGTCACCTTCTTGACTTTGTCTGTTCCTGCTGCTAATAACAAAAAATGTCTTGGACTAAGTGATTTATAAATAATAGAAATTTCTCACAGTTCTAGAGACTTGGGAGTCCAGGATCAAGGCACCAGCAAATTCAGTGCCTGGTGGGAATAGGTTATGATTTCTTACTGTGACTTCACATGGCAAAGTGCGTATAGGGGAGCTGATCCCTTTCTCTCTAGTTCTTTTATAAAGCACTACTTACATCCAGGAGGCCAGAGTCCTCATAGGCCAATCACCTCCTAGAAGCCCTGTGTTTTTATACTGTTACACTGGAGATTAAATTTTATATAAATTTTGGAGGGGACTTGACATATGGAGTGTTTAAAGCTGAAGAATCTAAGGTAAACCACAGAGACAGGAGGATCTCTCAAATCTTCCCACCCCCTCTCACCTGAAGTGGGTTATGGAAACTAGAACTTCCCTCAACTACTCTTTCCAGAAGTAAGTCATAAAATCTAAGCAGGTTATTCTGTGACATTTCTCCTGTCTACTGTGCCATGTGACACACAGAAGGAAGGAATATCACAAGGAGAATCTAAGAATTATGTGAAAAAACAGATCTTGCTAAATTGTCCCTCCTCATCCTGTTTATTGCCATTAGATCCCATAATTTCATACTCCAATCATATTTCTGTACAACAGTTCATTAAAATACACTTTTTTTTCATTTCTTTTGGTCTCAATATATCAAAGATCCTATGTCATGTAAAACTAGAAATAAATACATTTACATGTTCTCTTTTGATAGTCTCCTTATAGGAACACTAGCCAAAAACCTTACAATGGGTGAGAAAATAAGTCTTTTCACCCTTATATTATCTATTTTCTTCTGAGTCACAATTAAAAAACCAATTTTGCATAGAAAAAGGGAGACAAAAGTCATGAATGTCCTTCTAAAATCACTGGCTTCTGGAGGCTGAAAATAGCCAGGACAAATTCATTCATAGGATAGTGTCTCTCTCTCTCTCCTTTTGACATTTACTTTAAAAGGTGTGGATCATCACCTCTAAAACTGATTACACCATTTTTACCAGCATGCTCTATAAAGGTGATTCATTGTTGCTCAAGCTCCTGAGATTTGTGTGATGAAAAATTTTATAACCACAAGCACAGTTTACCACTGCTTAATAATATACTTTTTGATGTAGGTAGAAGATGCTTAGACTAGGTAATCACCATTGTTTGTAGTTATAACACCATGTGATTCAACACATATTTATAGAATGCCTATACTATTCTAGGTGATGAGCATTTGGTAATTAACAAAGCAAATACAATCTCTGCTATGGGGACAGTAAAACAGACAGCACGTAAATGACAGACACTCAGCAGATTAAAGCCAAATTTTCTACTGCATGCACTGCTATATTTTCATGGTCTGTCAATGCGTAGCAAACTGTAAGCATTCCATAAATATTTTGAAAGAGTAAGGGTGAACATAAGATGCTAATGGACAGAGCTTAAGTACAGAATTTTGTGAAGATTCAACCTGCATAATTCAACTGCCCTGTGGCCATCACGCCACTGCTGCTAGACATACCCCTGTTGCCATTTTCAAAGCCCAAACGCCATAGGAGTGCTATTCACTTTTTGAACTCAGTCCTTATAGATAGATTACTGTAGTTCAGTAGGTAAGGTTACTTTCAAGACATATTACTTTCATACTTATATCTGTAGTTTTTCAATTTAAAGGGCCAGTGACCTGAAGTAGAACAATTTATTGGCAGAAAATAAAAATATGGGAAAGATCATTCAGTAAAAAAAAAAAAATCCTATACTAGAAATGAAAACATGATTCTAATTATGAAACAGGATCAATTATGCCACCATAAAAATTGTCTTCTCTTTTGGAACAGGGGGTAAAGAAAATATCAAGTAGGCATCAGAATGCACATAACATACATGCGATGATTATGTATTTTTGTCTGTCTCTGGAAGGCTGAAATTCTCAGTGGGTGCCTAAGCAGTCTTCCAAAACAAAAATAATCTGAGCTCCAGTTTTACTGTATAATTCATTAAATTATAGTTTTGAACCAACTCAATTCAATATTCTAAGTTTTTCTCTGAAATAAACTGCCTTTTATTTTATTTTAGTTTTTTAAAAATAGGATATGTGAAGTAACAGCCCCATTTATTTTAATGTAGTTTTCAATCCCCCTGTGGACAAATGGGCACACTTAGGTGTCACTTAAATGCAAAACAGTCATTCATCTGTAACAAATACAGGAGGAACTGGATTTTCCTTTTTAAAATGCTTAATTACCTGTATAAAGACAGAAATAAAATAAGGAGTCCAGACCAAATTCATATGGGGTTTGAAATTTCTTTTTCTAAATGAGTACCAAAGACTCAATGTTAGAAGCTATTGTTTGGCCATAAACCAATTATAAAAGAACAAGGGGACCAGGAATTAAAATCAAATATATAAGGCAAGAACCAAAATTAAAAGTTGAGAAAAAGTTGTGTTACTAGGCACAGGACAATATAACACAGTTGAATGTAAAAAAAATCTAATTAATGGTATAGGGAAACCTCCATATTAAGTGTCCCCATGTGGCCAGTTATGTAACCCATGGTTACTTTTTTTAAAAAGTACATGTGTGTAGTACACATATTTACATTCCTTGTGGAATTTGTACATGCACATAACACATCGTGATTCTATTTTTATTCTCTTTCCCTCTCCTCCCTTGTCCCTCCACTTTTTGATCCTCTTCTCATTTGATCTATCTTCCAACTTCCTATTATTTTTAAGTCTTCTCTTTACTTATAATGTAGGTTTCTTATATAAGAAAAACCATGGGGGGCCAGGGATTTAGCTCAGTGGTTCTGCCACCTGCCTCACAAGTGGAAGGACCCAAGTTTGATCCCCGGTACAAAAAAAAAAAAACCAAAAAAACAAAACCGTGATATTTAACCTTGTATGTCTGACTTTTTTCACTTAAATTAGGATTCCCTGCCTCAAATCACTCAAAAACACATTCTTCCACTATTCCTACTCATGACAGTACTCAGTAGCACTAAAGGGCCACACCAAAAACAATATTAGTGATCCAGAGCACTGCAAGTGAAAAATAATTTATTTGGACAGAAATCTAAGTTGTAATTCTCAATTAATATGGGTTCAGCCCTATATCTTACAAGTTACGTGGGAAAGAAAGCACATCAGAGAAGAAAAAGACAGTAAGTTTAACCCTGAAACAAGGTGATTCCCATATACTTATTGCATAAATTTACTTACTATCAGATAAAGAATTCATGGTATTAATTCCCTCTAGAGTTATAAAACAGTGAATCATTCTGCAGTTCAAGATACTTCCTTAAATTTAGAGGAAGAGGATAGGGCTATTAGCTATAATGTAGTTTATCTTTAGACACCAACTTTAATATTAAATAATTCACAGTAAATACTATTTTTCAAGTTTTCCTTTTATATATTTATGTAATTTATGTGCATATACTGCATGTTTACTGGGACATCAAAATGTTTATTTAGCAAGAAATGCTTACTCTCTTATACACTGAAATACATACTTAATCAATCACTTCATCTATCTATTCATCAACATATCTGCTCATCTTTCATAATCCTCAGTTTTCTGATATTATCCAATCTCTTATTGCCCTTAAAATGCATAAGTGCTTTTGGAAAATGTATGAGCACACACATAAAGAAAAAAAAATTCTCAGAGAAAAAAGATAAAAATTCTGATGTTGGTCATTTCCTTTAAGTATTTGGTTACAAAGAAGATTGTTTTGATTTGATTTTGGTCTAATCAAACCTCCTAAGACTTACCTTACATATCTTCTGGGAATTCAGATGAAATTCACTGAGAAATGGTAATTTTTCTGATCTAATTGTACTCTTGCCTATTGTACTTAGTTCAAAACATCATGAAACGAAATGTATGCTGCTAATATAAAAACAGCATACACACAAATTCACGTAGATAGTATTGTAGACTAGCAAGTCTAGTGCCAGGGATTTAGCTCAGTGGTTCCACTCCCTGCCTCACAAGCACAAGGACCACAGTTCAATCCCCAGTACCAAACAAAAAATAAGACTAGCAAGTCGAAAACTAACCACACAGTATACAGGTAGACACACACAAAGACTAACAAATGAACACAATGCTTAAATAAATAAAGGATATTGTCATCTTTTCCACAAACTTATCATGTTGATTTTCTGCTTTGGGGAATTTCTTGATGTCACGTTCCAGATGAATAACTTGCTGTTCCATGGCTGCAAGGTTGCTCTTGAGGATTTGAGCTGAAACTAAAGAACAGTGTGCAAAACATTTAGAATAGTTGACCAGGAGCTCCATGGAACAACCAAAAACAATATCGCTTAAAGTATTTTTTTCAATGTAGAGAATACTTCCATGAAGTTAATTCATATTTTTTAAATTACTGCTCATAAAAATTCTACTCTCCATGAAATAAATAAAAATGTGTATTATACCAAACCATCATGTTTAATATGGGAATGTCACCATTTTACTCAGCCATTAGTTCAAATAAATCCATGTCTATTTAAATTTGATGGAATTCCTAATATTTCATTTTTTAAAATCTAATTCCATGATTAAAGAGAAACTAGATTCAAATAAACCTTATCTTATTAATGCATATTCTTGGCTCTAAATACCCTGACTTTCATAAACTAACCCGTATGGTAAAGTTTCCATCTTTAGTAGTTTTCATAGTCCACAGAGATATGAAAAATAACTATAGTTGCAGAAAGAGAATTTAAATCAAATGCAGTGAACACATGCACATATACACCTACAAAGCTTTAGCATGCCCTCAAACACTATGATCAGTTGCTTTAATTACTCAAACATACTTTGCATTTTTCTCTCATGGACAACTAATAATTTTAAATATTGTATACCAACTACTCCTAAGTACAGGCACACATTCCATATCTCACATGCTGCCTTTTTCACAGAGCTATTTTTTAAAAAAATGACTATTTTACAGATATTCTATTACTGCATGACTGCTAATTATATACAAAAACACTTCTATCTAAAACAACAGTATCTGACAGAATTCTCGGTGAAGAATCAAGGTGTTACAACTCAATAGGTAGCCTGTGACACTGGTTTTTAAAGTCAGGCCTTTGAAATATCATTCTGTTCATTAAAGTTTATAAAACACAAATGAAAAAATATTACAATTTCTTTTTTATAAAAACATTTTGTCTCACTCAAAGACATATGAGCATTACAATAAAGAGTCCATAGACTGACAAAATGAACCCCCTGGCAAATTTCAATCAAACTATTCTGATACAAATTCATCACACTGACACAAAACTTCATAACTCAACAAGAAGAAATCACTTTAGAAATACATGTAAGTTCAAGAGAGTGAAAATCAAACACTAACATTAAAGACTATTTTTTTCTATTAATCTGTCAGTTTAAATATCTCTGTTCAATTTTGTTCTATTTCTTTAGATCTGACAAGCTTGGAAATTATTCTTTATTGGAGAAGTTTAAGAGAGTTTTGTCGTGCAAAAATTTGCTAATGGTTCAGCAATCACTGTTGGTTTTAATTAAAAGGATAAATTTGTTATGAACAAAGTATTTCTGCTTTCAAAACTGAAATTTTTTTTGAGACAGGGTCTCACTAAGTAGTTGAGTCTGACTTGGAACTCACTATGGAGCCCAAGCTGGTCTTGAACTCCCAGAGATCCTCCTACCTCAGCCTCCCGAGTGCTGGATTTACAGGCGTGTGCCACCACGCCCCGCTTGAAACTGAATTTTTTTACTTAGAATTTCCTTGTTTACTTTTACTAGTAATTCAATAATTTTTTTCCTTCCTTATTTGCTTGACTGAAAAACCAAAGCTATGAATTAAACAGTTGCTTGTGTCATTCAACTTCCCTGGATATCAAGGGGTTCAAGACTCACTATCCCAAAATATGGTACCTTGGTATATTGAATATTTTAATCTGAAGCAGATTATAAACCCTCACATGAGATGTGCCATTCTGAAACCCAGAGGAAAGAAACATTCTAACCTCTGACAATGAGGGACAAAAGAAAGAATCTGAATGAACATCCCCTACCAAGTTGCCCCTGGTCTGTTAAACTTAGTTCATACATTTTCTCACTGTCAAATTTTTCCAAGACTCTACATTCTTCATCAAAACTTCCACAGGACATGCTCAGGTTTGTTTTGTTCAGGTCTACATTTCCTTAGGAAAGTGTCCCACATCACAGCAAATTCACATTAATTTGTATTCATTTGTTACAGGGGGCTCAGCTAATGAACCTATAAGAGGTAGAAGGAAAAGGGTTTTTTTTCTCCTCTACAGAAGAAATAAATGCAAGATAACTTTCTGCAATAAACAAAATGTACCAGAGGGCCAGGTTTAGTTCACAATGGTACCGCCCCCCTAAAAGCAACAGTAATATCACTAATAAAAAAGGAAATTATACTAATTTCATCTTCTGATTATTCAATCAAGTTTTGATGCATGACAAATGTCTAGATATCTAAAATAGTAAGATCATATTTTTAGTCCAGTGAAACTGCTTTTACCCTACAGTTGAATTCTGAACAAATCAATATTTTCAGAACACTTTGCTTTTTCCAATTTTACATGTCCAATCCTTACTCTCCTATAAATTCCTCCTGATCTCATCTCCAATTTCTTTACTATTTCATATTGTAGGGACAGAAGGAACTCCTGTGGAGGGTTAAAAGACTCAAGCCCTTGGGTAGTAAAAGCAGCCTCTGTGTGGCTATGAGCAACAAACACCTTTCAAGCAGCTTTGTGGTTTGAAATTTACAGGTTGTGGTTTTGACACCAGCCCCTGTGCAGGCAGCACCGTCCCTCCTAGGGAAGGTTGCCATAACTACACAAATTCCCCCATTAGCCCATAAAACTAAACTCCTAGCACAAGCCTAAAATCTAATCAATCAAGTGTTGACTCTCAGGGGTATGGAGATGGAGCCCCTACTCCATAAAACAGAAACAAAGCCCCAGATTCGGTGATGTCTGTGCCTCTTTACCACTTCTTGTAATATCTACAATAAAATCACTTTCACTTTGTACTGTTCTTCTCTGACTCCTCTTCATCTTTCTATACTGGAGAGAAAGACCCAGAAGTATGAATCTGGGAACCCTAGACCCCAGACCCACTTGACCTAACAATCTGCAGTTTTTGTTTAATAAATATTCCACATTTCATATCACCTTTTACTTTGACTTAGATTTGTCTCATATACATAAACACACAGTCTCCTTCATAAAATCCCAAGCTGTTTCTAGGGCTCAGAATTCAATATCGTGTTTTGGCGTGCTGAATAATTTGATCTAAGGAAACTGGAAGGCCTCAAATGCAAGTTCTCTTTGATCTTCTGCCCTTCTATCTCTAGTCCTTCTTTTTATACATAAGAGAGTCAGAAATCATTGTTCCTCTTCCACATATAGGTCATAGAAAGTAGAACTCTTCTTTGCCAAAACAAGTCATAATCCCTAGGAATGTCTCTCCCTTCTCACTTGAAAACCCTCATTCTGGAGGAGTCCTACCCTATACAGTAGCTGGAAGAAAGAAATGATACAGATGCTAAGCAGAATCTGAACAAGAGGCATTGCTAAATACCCCCACCGTGTTATCTTTAGGTCATACCAGCTACTCTGGTACAAATTATATTTCCACACAGCTGTTCATTTTTCATAAAACCTAAGCATAAAAATAGACAGCTTTCCTTGAGTCTTTAGGTTCCCATTTTGGAAGATTCCCATGTCTTGTAAATATGCACTGAATTCATTTATGTTATCCTTTTTTTAACCCATTTTAAGTACCTGCCATCACCCTTATGATGAGAAAATGTATCACCACATTCTGACTCATGCTTCTTAATGGTAAGATACATATCTCTTTCCTTTTCCTCAATACATATCATTGTAATTTATCCATGTTAATTGATAAATTTTTTTGAATGGATATGTCTATTTCAAGAAGTTTGGGCTCTCATTTAAATTTATGCCCACTACTGCAACTAGATAGAAGTTAGGCACAATCATAATAACTGAATGTTGCCTTTATGAATTATGAACACAGAAAGGAAGCAGGACATGAGAATCTGTCTAAAATACATATGAGAAGGAGGGTTGCAGGTAATGTCTACCAAATAGAAAAGTAAGGAAATGAGAAAAGGGAGAGAAATAATAGGCACTTTTATTAGGTTCTTGTATTCTGCTCTCCCACTAAATTATTAATATTGCATCTACACAAAACAGAATGAAATGTTGCACATGTAATCTGAAGATTTTAGTTTACATGCAAATTTATGGCTGCATTAAATAATACATTATACAAAGGTTTATCTCTATATTATGTAATATTTGAGTTAGAAATGACAATAGAGAGGATTTAGACCAACTTTCAAATTACAAAAGTTCAGACTATACATTTTTATAATCTAAGTCCCTGGGAACCAGAGCATAGGATAAAATGCTTATTTATTGGGGGTGGATGAGAGATCCCAGATAAATAACAATGAGAGAAATGGGAAGAAAATACATATAAGAGAGTAAGTTAAAGAACTGACCACAGCTTTGCAAAAAATAGACTTGGTTGCTTAGTATCTCAGATTTTTTCCACTTCAGCTGACTTCCTAGACATGTAACATGTACAGTCACACTGGGATCCATACTCAGAAGGGCCCTGCACTTTGTTTAGTGCTTTGTTTTCACTGCTTGGAAATACATAATAATTTCTGCAGTGGGGCCCCACTTTTTCATTTTTTCTCTGGACCTCACACATTACATAGTAAGTCCTGGTCTCCAGATAAAACAAATCTAACTTGGAATACATAGCTAGAGGGAGTGAGCAGTTCATTTACCTGCTGGCTCCTTCATATTTCCTATTTATTCACTGATGAAATGTTGCTGTTTCTAGTTGTATTATGTTCTTCCTTTGGCTAGGGAGTAAATGGCGTGGGTTTGGAGAGGGGAAAGAGGGGTTGGCAGAGAAGAGTGCCCAGTAAGCCTAGGTGATGCCTTCACTAGATCTACAACAGAGTATGCCTTATATACAATGTAGTTGATTCCATTTTTGAGAGCTGACATCATTAGAACAATTGTTATTTACCTATAATCCGAATCAGCCCACTTGAACACTTTCTAGTTAGTCCTAATTTTGCCCTGTAGCAACAATGATCAAGTGAACTCTCTGTTTCACAGGAGAAATATAACTTGCATTTTGGTAGTCTACTCAGGCTAAAACTATTTCCTTCAATGAGTTCTTCTAT